GTTCTTGAATCGCCATAACATCATAACGTCCAACAAGAGCCCTTAACTCATCCGCTACGATGCGACGACGGCCCATGTTGAGCTGGAGAATGGTGATATTATTCATAGTAGGTCCTCTTAGCCACCTCATTTGACCATCTTAAGTGTACAGGGCACTCTCGGCTGCCCGCTTTATGCTTCGTTTGGCTTTGCGGTGCACTCGCCCGCACACAGTTAATACAAGTCGGGCCAGTTTGTTCCTTCTTCCTTGGACAGTCCTTGAGTATGTGTCCATTGGCTGCACACCATATGCATACAACGGTATCCACCGTACAGGTAGCCTTCGTGTGTCCATAGCCTTGGCACTTTGTGCAACGAGGGGCGTCGAGGTAATCCTTAAACGTCATGGACCACCATCCTCCATCTAAAGCTGCCATTTCCAACAGCTGGAACCTCACCATTGGGTGAACTTCGAGTACCCAGTTCCTACTTAGTCCATTTCTAGATACTGAGGATAATAATGGCCGTATATCATCATTAATGAGTGTAGTAGGGACTGACTTCTCGTTTATTCTTCCCCACAAAAATCTCGTTAATTCAGCTGAGCCCCACGAGTGAGGGACACCCCTCACCTCAATCTTAGGTTTCTTTCTTTGTGCTAGTTTTGCCTGAAAACCTTTCTCCCGTAACCCCTGCCAACCAATTATTTTAGTGGCATGGGTACTGTCTTCTAATCGGACTAAAACGGAACCACCTTTGGTTGCTCGAACAATTTCAGCCTTAACACCTATTTCTGTGGGGGAAGGCAGGGCATTGATAATGTCCACCGGACTCTTACCGGTACCGCTAATAGTAATAAACGCCGGCTTGAGGGACTGAGTAGGTTTTAAAGGCAATTTTCTTACTATTTCGGCCAATGACTTCGGCTGATTTGGACCGGACCCAGTCAAAGATTCCGCCTCTGTCTTATGCGTTTCATTTTCAGTTTGTAGGCTTTCGGGACCGGTAGACTTTTTAGTCTTTTTCCTGTTTCTTTTGCTCTTAACGACTGTAAAAGGAACTGCGGCTGGTAAAGGCTCAGGCGGGGTCACGTTAGTCGCGGATGACTTTTCGTTGCTTTTTCCAGGGATGGCGAGGGGACCATTAGATTTCATAGTGGTTCCTGAGAGGGATTCTATAACCTTCGGCACTGTTTTCTCTATTACGATGCTGGTTATCATCGAATGTACTGAAGGCGAGGTAAGCGTTTCCTGAACCGCTTTATGGACAAGTAAAGATAAACCCTCACTCTTATCTTTGTACTGCTTTGTCCTTTCCCCCAACGATTCAATAGCGTCAATGAACCACTGTATTTTGCCATTAATGTGGTTTTGGTCTTTATTTTTAATACTTTTGTCAGCTTTAGTTAGGTATATTCGGAGGTTTTCTTGAATTATCTTTGCTTTTTGAAGGAAGTCATTTGAGATTCCTACCTCAGAAGCTTCTGCGTTATCAACAAGAGAAACCTTTCTCGCCCTTTTTGCGGTTGAACGTGAAACCCTTGGAGGGTCCCCTTCTTCCCTTTCATCTCCCTCCATGTTGTCTATAATATTACTCCTGGACAAGTCTTTAAAGAGTAGACACTTAATAACTTAAATAGTAACAGTAATAATATTTCTTATCACATAAACAGGTTATACTTACAAATTTATTTTTTTTACACAGATTCAGTAAAGTTAATTTCTTTGTGCTCCCTGGGAAGGTCTTTTAGAGATCTTCTACTCAATATAACACTCGGAACTCAAATTTTTTCAAACAAGAACTCCTTCACGAAATTTATACGACTTAACCTCTCCTGTCCAAACTTCAATCTATGTACACTATTTACACTTACAACTAATAACAACAATAAAAAACATGATAAAACACTAGAAAACAATAAGATGGCTATGAACAATTAGAACAAAACGAAAACACAAAACACTGCCTCAAAAGATAGCTCTTTAGTAGATCGCAATTAATCACAGTAACCTCGCTATTTAGACACTTCTAACATTCTAGACATATACCAACCACCTACTTAAGGTACTAATCGATGAGGCGTAAACTAGAGTAAGATAGTCTCTTCTTAATGCTAAGCTCGGTTCTCCACTTTCGACGTATAGGCTTTCAACGGGAGAGGATCTAAACGCCCCCGTGCATAATCTTATTGCAGTGTTGTGGACGGTGTCGAGTATTTTGAGTGCTCTCTCAGAGGCTGTATTATATACAATACATCCATAGTCTATTTTACTTCTTATTAAAGTTCAATAGAGGATAAATAGTGTCTTTCTGTCGGCTCCCCAGTTCATTCCAGAAATAGCTCTAAGTATATTTATTAGTTTTAAGCAATCTGTTTTCAAATTACGTAAATGTACTGTCCATCTCAGCTGTCTGTCTAACCACATCCCAAGAAAACGTACACTTTCTACGAATGGTAAAATTTCTCCATTCAGTGATAGTGATGGATTATCAGAACAGTATCTTTTCCGGCAGAAATGGACACACTTGGTTTTGCACGTTGAAAAATTGAAACCTGTAGTTTTAGTCCATTGCTCTATTGATTCTAAGATGTTTTTTATTTTCCATTCTATGAATTTTATATATTTGCTTCTGATGATTGTTGTGAAGTCATCTGCAAACAACGTACAAGTTGCTGGTTTGTGGACATTCTTTACAATATCGTTTATTGCTATTGTAAAAATAGTTGCCCTTAAAACTGATCCTTGGGGTACCCCATTTTCTTGGATGAAGGTGGTTGATAGCTGGTCTTCAATTTTGACTTGGAAGACTCTTTTTTGTAGGAAATTTTCTATATACCTGACCATCCTTCCCTTTATGCCCCATTCCAAGAACTTGTTCACAATATATCGTCTCCATACTCTATCGTATGCTTTTTGTATATCATAGAAAATGGCAATTAGGTGTTCTTTTTTTTTAAACGCTGTTTGTATTTCTGATTCCAGTTTTATCAGTTGATCTAAAGTTGAACGATTTCTAACAAAACCACATTGTTCTTTGGCAATCAGATGCTTTTTTGCAAAGACGTCTATCAACCTTAGGTTAACCATCTTTTCCATTAATTACGAAGTAGAGCAGGTAAGCGATATAGGTCGAAAACAATTTCAAAAATTGTTCCAATTGTCCCAAAGCGATTTGGAAATTTGAATTATGTCCAAAATGTCATCTATATATATTTTGCTCAAAAACAATTGATTCTTATCGATCCTGCATTGAAAATTTGCAGACTAGATGGCAAAAGGCTGTTGATAATGAGGATGATTCCATCAATAATTAATAATAAAAACTGGTGTGAAATGAATGTATATGAATTTAATGTAAGAAAATAATTTAATCGGAAAACGATATTACTTTTCGATCCTCCTATATTACGCATAATTATGGCTTTTATTTTAATTCGACACTTTTCGCTGCTTGCTTTCTTTAACCGTTTTTGTTTAATGTACGTAAATTGTTTTTTGTGATGGATAAAAGAAACTGATTATAAATTATTTCTGTTTTAGTCCGAATACACTAAAGAATTTAATCAACTTAGTTGTCACAGATGGATCTCCTATGGCGTGATCATCTCGCTGCCAATAGGTAATGTTAGTTAAATAAATAACGTATAGTGTAAAGCAAAACCTATTTGAATCCATATAATTTCCTTCTGTTAGGGTAGATTATTAAAAACGTTAATAATAAGAGAATTTGGGAATATTGCTAGGCATCTACAAAATTATACTTCTTGATGGTCAGGATCAAAAAGTTTGTTTCGATATATAATAATTACAGCGCATAGTGCGTAGCAAGAGAGGGACAAGCTGCATATTATGCGTTAGAAAGAGCAGCTCAAAAGTGAACAATGATGCCTATGAAATCGAACATGTTTGATGTATGCCATGCAAAAAAGACATCCGAGTGTCTCTTTGGTACTTGAATACTTAAATACTGAAATTTTTCCCTTCGGCAACCTAACAATCCTGGTGAATGAAGAAATAGTTTCTGCAATATTACCAGGGAGTGGAGAGATCGTTTATTTGCGATTGCGGTATACAAACGCCGCTTGCTGCTTTTTTTTTTCTTTTTTGTTTTAATGCAATAATTTAGGGAATTACTAGTCTCTTTTGATGAATTATTTTTGCGTTAGATAGACCGATCAATTAGGAAAGGTTTATGCCGAATAAACACACACAATGACTCACAGGAATATACCAGTAACTTTTAACTCCAAATACCATGGAAACCAATGAGCAATCAGGATTTCAAAACAACGTTAATATAATATACGTTAATATTGTACAATTACTATATATAAATAAGCTGGAGTCAACTTAAAATAATACGAAAAGATAAAAATGGTTTTTCCATGAGCAACTGCATGTTACCATTCCTAGATCGATCTCTTGGAGTCTTGCCTTATCTTCCTCACGTGCGGGGAAGAGAGCTCCCTCGGCTGACTGTAAATATTGTAAATAAGTACAAATGTGCTTTTAATTTTTTTTTTTAAATATATTTAATGTTGTCTCATGTTTGATTTATTCTGTTATTCTAAGTTTTCTTTTCTTTATTTTCGTTATAATTTTCTATTGTATATGTGGTATGATTGTTTCATACAACCCAAATACTCAATGCCCTAAATAGTATGTATTTTTTCTCAATAAAAAAATTCTAGATCGATTTACAGAGGGTCCGAGTATTACTTAGATCCACGGATAAATAACTAAAAAATATTAAAGATGTAAATGTTTATACAGGCGTCAACCGCTTGAATCATTATTACCTTGCGTCACTGGTTAAATTTTGGAGTATATCTCTGTTCGTCTTAAAAAGTCAAAAAGTCTGTTAATCATATACACATATTCCAGTAAAGCGGAATAAATAAATATTCTTTAAATTGTTCATTAAAAACTGGACTGGATTAATATGAAGGAATGAAACTGAAGACGCTTCTTGTATTTTTTTCCAGGATTATATAACCCTAATTTAACGCAGGTAGGACAGCAAATCCTAATGTATTTTTAATATATATTTTCTAGTTTTCCTATATTGCTTCCGAATATACCTATAGGTTGGAGTTGGATTAACCAATTGCTTAACGTTTTTGATAATGATATACGCTTCTGATTTGTTGACTTTTCTCTGGATGACAACTCTTTATGAAGTCCGACAGCAGGCACGAAAGTTGTGTCAAATTGTATCAAAGGTAAGTCACTCTTAATATGCCACTATCGTTTCACTATTATCATTTGTTCCAGGATAAAAAGCTAATTTTCTATTCTATTTTCGATACATCCTACGCCCTGAAGACGACCTGCAAAGTGGATCGAAAAGTCGGCAAAAATTAAATAATTACTATATTTTAATTTATTATTTATTTGACCGCACCCCCCGATTAATTTCTTCTCATATTATATCAACGGTCAACCATCTCTACACCATAAATTTTTATAATTTTTGCAAATCAGCAGAAGTCGCTCCAAAAGCAAGATAGACCCTATTGTTAACAAAGGTTTGAACTTCTAAAAACAGTTTCAATATCTTGCCCAAAACGGCCAACCCCGAAAATATTGAAGATTTAACACGCGGTAACATTGAATTTAGAGCGACTACCATCAAATTTTATTTATTTAATTTTTTTTCACCATGGTATTTGAGTAACCATCGACCCAGTTTTTGACTAAATAACATTTAATTGTCTATCCTGACCAAATTATAAGAATATCACGAGTTTAATAGCTAAGTTTTAAAAAATAAATATAAATAAAAAAATATTTTTTATTCTTTTACATACATGTAACTTTGCATATTTATATTTTAGTATAAGATCTTGTATGTTCATAATACAAACTACGCGACATGAATTTTAAACAAGCTATTAATTAGTATCTACTGCGAATAATTTTGTAATTATAGGTTGTATAAAAAAAATGACCGATTTTCAATCAAATAATTGAATTATTATTTCTTTGATATTAAATAATGTTGATACTCAAAGTATAGTCCATTGTTATCTATCGTCATTAGCCATCTGAAAGCCAATTGCTCGATCCCATGCTGATATTCTTTGGGATGGATACCAAAGAAATCTTGGAGCATAATTTGAACTTCCGAAAAATAATCAATTTTTTCCCTTGAATAACATGGGTCATGGATCGAAATAAGTAGTAATCCAATTGTGCGAGGTCTGGACTATATGATGGATGAGGCAGGAGTTTTTCAGGCGAGGGTTTTTCAATAAATTTTTACAAATTTCTAACCTCTTAGCAGATTTCTGCTCTTTATTACCTCTCCGTTAATAGATTATTTTACCTTCCCCGTGGATAGATAACGACTAATAGTATTTTTCGACACATCATACTCCCTGGCAAGTTCGCGTGTACTTGTGGATGGATTTGACTCAACAGCTTCCTGCAGTCCTCATCAATACCCTCAGGAGGTGGTTGGAGCCCTTCTCCCTTTCCAACGTCGTATCTCCACTGAAAAATTTTTCAAACCAACGCTGCAGTGTGCTGGTCAAGGACACCTTCCCTTTCGTATTTAATAATTTCACAAGTTGCTTCAGCGACTATGTTTTTTTTGTCCCCAATAATGTCTTAAAATTACAAGAATTGATTAGGGCACTGTCATGTTTTTTCTTTGAAAAAAATAACTAAACTGAGGCTTTTCTGGGATTAAATGGGATGGAATGGGATTAAACAAGCTTAGAGATTACTAAAGCGATTATTGATCATTATAAATAGTATAATCATCATAAATATGATTAAAATATTTACAGTCCTTTGAAATCTTGAATTTAATAAAACGGTCATTTTTTTTTTCTGTACCATGTCTTATAAGAATATTGAGCATAAAACAGTTGAAGGATTCATCATAACATTCTATTTAAGTTTCGGTCTACTCCTTTGGCGTTTACAAGTTCTTTCGGGCCTTTTAATTATTCATTTCGACATTTGTTTTCTATTGGCCATTTTAGTATTTTTATCATTAAATTATTTTGTAAAATGTTTATGAATTGATTGGGCTATTGCCCTCAGGAAGGGATAGGAAAAGAAACAGAGCGTAAGAGACACTGTTGGCTCATGATCAGCAGGTTGACTTCATCCTTCGGTGAGGCGATGTGCTTGGCCACAGACGGTCTCTTGATGTCCCTCTTCTCTTCCTTCCTGATCGGTTGCTATGGCTGCCTCACCAGCTTCACGAACCGCATCAAGCGAGCAGAATATGTTTGGTGGGAGTTCGCCGAGTCATCTTCCATATACATTTTCTTCTTCTTTATGTTCGACACTGCTGAAAGGACAACGATTGAGGTTTATAATGTTATTATTCATTTTTATTAGTTTTCGTATTTTTTTTTAATAAATAAAGATCAATAATTTTACTATGCCATGAAACTTGTATTCATATACAATATCCCATCCACACAAGTCTGCTTAAACTCACGGGCGTGCACACACAGATTTTATCAATAAACTCTTTTTTTTCTGCAAACTATTCTATAACTCTTTGAATGATAAATCGTTTTTTTCATACGTTCCAAAAAATATATAATATTTATATTATAACCCGTAAATCCTCTTCACTGGCTTCTTTCTTTCAATCATATATTCTATTGTTTTTGTTCTTAAGGGACTTTTGTACCAGGTTTAATAATCAGGGATTATTTTACATTTGAAAATACAGGATTCTAAATAATGTTTTTTTTTTTTTTTAAGGCTGGAACCAAATTTTCTTCTATTGTTCTTAATTTAAAACACTCGAAGATGGACAAGGAAACATTAAGTGATGTATGTACTTTATCAAATAATTTTACGTCCTTAATTTTTAAAATATATTTTTGTTTAAATGTAATTATTAAACATAGTATTTTTTTTTTCAGATGTCGCTCTTACTTTCATGTATTTCCTCATGCCCCCCGGTTGTAACTTTTGCAGGATTAGTTGAAGTAAATAGAACTCTTCTAACTAACGTAAGTAATTTATAGTTCGTTCTCAATGTTTAATTAAAGAAATATTTTTTTATTGATCGTATTTATCGTTTTTTATTAACTTCGATTTGATGTTTCGTACTTGAAAATAGAAAACAGTTTGGACTGCTGGGTATAAAACTTGACATACGGCTCACCGTAATAAAAATTATCAAAAATCAGGTAAAAACGTATAGTCCGTGGTACACACCCCTTTTTATCGAATTATTAACATCCGCCTGAAACTTCGTAAATATTTTCATTTCATCGTAACCTACAACTATTCTATTTACTAAAACTCTTGGAATTGTGGAGTTTTGAATCTGGAGGGAGCCAAATTTTGTCTATTTAATGAGGTACTAAAAACTCGAAAATACTCATTTGATTTATACTTGGATCGTAAGACAATTTCATCAGAAAATCGAGATCAAGGTGCCCTTCAAAAATATTGAGCTGTTTAGCGTAACCTACATTCCCAAATTTTCATAAATAACGGAGTTATATAGGACAAACGGCCCAATATTTTTGTAGGCAACCCCTATCTATATTGAATATTTTTTATCTATATTGTGATCAAATTATCTTACGATCAAAGCAGAAAGCAAATGGGTATTTACGAGTTTTATGTTCCTAATTAAAACTTCAAAAACCTCACCCCAGAGTGGGACCACTACATTTTGCATTTATTCAATACCGTACTTGAACAAAAAAAATTACCTACCCAGTGGTCTAAATCCAAACTTTTCTTACTTTTTAAAAAAAATAATAGAAGCGATATTGATAATTATAGAGGTATATCGTTACTGAACACGATGACTAAATTATTTACCGGCATCATTGCAAGGAGAATAATGCTATGGGCAGACTCTCAGAATCTAATACTCGTAGAACAAGCAGGACTAAGGAACGGAAGAGGATGCATTGATAATATCTTCACCATCTCAGCGCTAATCGGAATAACGTTTAAGACAGAAGGAAGATATCTATATGCCACCTTCATCGACCTCAAAAAAGCTTTCGATTCAACTAATCATGGACTTCTTTGGAGAAAGCTTATTATCTTTATAAACTTATTTATATATTATAAAGAGTTGGAGGAAAAATTACCAAAATTATTAAAATGCTGTACGACAATGCCTCAACCCAAATTTCAGTTAATGAACAACATTCGGATGATATTGACATCACCTTAGGACTTTTACAAGGGGAAAGTCTGAGCCCAACCTTGTTTTTGTTGTTTATCTCCGACATAGTTAAATACTTTCATGACAAAAGAGCAGCAGGGGTAAGCATAGACACCTTACACGAGGTAACAATGCTCCTTCTAGCTGATGGTATTATTCTCTTAAGTAATAATTGGCATGGAGCTTATTTGTATGGGGAACCCCCTTAAAACAAATAAAATATCTATCTATCTATCTATCTATCTATCTAGTTCCTAATTAAATAGACAAAGTTTTCCCTCCTCCAGACTCAATACGCCCCAATTCCAAGAGTGTTTGTAAATAAAGTAGTAGGTCACGATGAGATGAAACTATTTACGAAGTTTCAGGCGGATGTTAATAATTCGATAAAAAGGGGTCTGCACCATGAACTATAGTTCATATAAAAAGTTTAATCAGTACTCACAACTCCAAACCTTGGTCCCGGACTAAAACTACGGATTTCCAAAATATTATTAGTCCTTCTCTTCCCTACGCTACTCCGCTACTATCCCAAATATTAAAATATACAGGCAAGATACTAGAACAATTTTAAAATGGGATTTAAAAAAGAATTGCTAAAACACAACCCTTCAAAAAGAGAAGTCTGACAAATATAATATTCTCGCCATATTCTGAATTTAACTTTTGATGGCAGTTATCAGACATAAAAAGTCTAAAAATCAGTTAGCTTTATGCTTATGAGTACCGTATTATCACTCTTGTACCAGTATAACTTCTTTAATATCAAAATTTTAATAAATTTGTTTGTCAAATTATTTTTATATTAAAGATTCACTTAATGTTCTTGTATCATTGTTATGGATGTATATTTATTTATATATATAAATACACTGGCAGGCAAAAAATTCCACCCACTTGATTTTTTCATGTTTTCATCTAAAAATATTTCTGCTTTGGATTGGTCTATTATTTTTAATGAATAAATAGGTAATCTTTTTGTTTGTTTTCAATTAGGAATGATTCTAGATTCCAATGTTTACTTTCTATGGAATCAAAATGTTTATTCAGTATCAGTAGTTCAGTGCCGTTATTTGCAACACATTTCTTAGTCTCCGGCTTTTAATTTTTTTAATAATAAGTTTTAAAATGCCTCTTAGTGCTGAGGATGTTGCGCGTGGTGTGGCACTTATTGATGATGGATTTTCCATTAGATATGCAGCTAATGCCATCGGAGTTCCATATGATACTTTACGAGACGCCGTCAGGCGTTTTCAGGAAACTGGTTCTTACAATAAAAGGCCCGGTTCTGGACGGCCTAGGGTAACAGAACCACGGGATGACCGGTTTTTACTTTGAGAATTTTACGAAACCGGCACCTTACCGTTGTTCAAGCGATTTATTAGCTCGAAGAAGTTCGAGGTGTGCAAATTTCTGAACGTACCGGTCGAAGAAGATTAAATGAATATGGATTAATGGATTTTCGTCCAGTAAGAGGACCAGAGTTGACCAGAACTCACAGAGTAACACGGCTGGCTTTTGCTCGAGAACACAGCCATTGGACTATGGACGAATGGTGTGCTGTACTTTTTACAGATGAATCAAGATTCGCTCTTCGATCTCCAGACAGGCGTGAAAGGGTGTGGAGAAGAAGAACCGAAAGATATGCAGCCTGTAATTTTTCCCAGAGCCAACCTTTCCAACGTGGTTCCTTAATGGTATGGGCTGTTATTTCAATAGAGCGCCGCACAGAATTGGTTATTGTTCGTGAAGGGTCTTTGACCGCCATTCGCTATGTAGATGGGATTTTGGAACCTCTTGTTATCCTCAACGAAATCGGCGATTGTTATATTCTAATGCACGATAATGCACACCCACATGTCGCCCGCATAGTGCAGACGTTCCTTCAACAGAACAATATTGAGGTTTTAGCCTGGCCAGCACGTTCTCCAGATTTGAACCCCATTGAGCATTTATGGGATAACCTCGGAAGACGACACTTCCCGATACACTGCAGGACCTTGAAAGGACTCTTCGGGAGGAATGGGCTATCCTCCAGCAAAGGGACATTTTCCGACTGGTGGAAAGTATGCCGAGGGTTTTTTACAAGTGGGTGGAATTTTTTGCCTGTCAGTGTATATATACATATAAATGAATATTTGATGATAAGTTTATATGTTTATGGTGATTTTTTTTTTTTTTTGTTTACAGCTTGTTTCTAATTCTGTTACATATTTGGTACTGCTGTTCCAATACAGAAGAGAGTAATACACCACGGAGAATCATCTTAGTATTCTCAGTTTAATGTGTAATGAGAATTAAGTAATGCATTAACTTAAAATCTTGTATTTATTATTATTATCGTGTAAAAAGATTTACGATTTGCTGGTAATGTACCCAACCTCGAAAATGTCAGAATTTAGTGTTTGTTGCACGATTTTGATTTCCAAGCTCTATTGGTGTATTTATATAATATAAAAAGCTATTAATTTAATCAATATTATTTATTAATAACTAGATTTAAAATAATACCTTCAAGTTGTAGTATTATACTTTTTAAAAACTAAATATAATTTCTCAATTTTTATATTACTTATTTTACTTCAACCCTTCATTTTTTTTATAATTTTATTTTTACACCTCTACAAGAGAACCGTTTACTATATGTGAAATGCATTCATAATTATCAATTTATGTTAAAATGTGAAATATAATATAAAAAAAGAAGGTTATTGCCTAGAACCTGCTGTGACGCTTACTACTTAATTGTATTTTCAGACGGGTAAGTAAATAGATAAAAAATTAAAAGATTCTATATAGTTTTACAGTACTTGTATTGACATCGTTATTGGATGAAGGACAGGCGGATTTAAGGGGGGGAGGGAGGCTTTCGGGCTGAAGCCCCTCCCAAAATTAAATCCTGGAGCCGCTAGTGAGATGAAGAAGAAGTCACGAAAGGAGACCTATTGGTCTTTTTAATCAGCTCCTGATAACTACCGAGAGATACCCAATGTGGGAGTCCCGAGATTAATTTCTTGGGTCCGCCATAGAATATATATTATTTTTTTAACTCGAACCCACACCGCTTCGAACGAAGTATTATCACTGCGGTACTTCCGCTCCGTCCAATTTAGCCAATAAACCCTCTATGTATGTTGTAAGTGAATAGTAAATTAAACAAATATATATATATATATATATATATATATATACATTAACTTGCGATATATATATATATATATATATATATATATATATATATATATATATATATATATATATATATATATATATCGCAAGTTAATGCAAATAACGACATGAATCCTGAAATACAGAGGCGCATCATGGCCGCAAATTATTTTATGGCCGCAATTATTTTGGTCTCCAGGGACATCTCAAAAGTAGAGTGATCTCTCGTAAAACCAAGCTGCTCTTGTACAAAAAACTGATCAGACCAGTACTAACATATGGTTCAGAGTGCTGGAAGCAACAGCTCTTCTTCGGTTTGAACGTCGTGTGCTAAGAAGAATATTCGGCCCAATTATAAATATTAATCAGGAGCGATGATTCCGATCCAACGATGAGCTGATGCAGCTATATAAAGAAGCCGATGTTGTGAGGCTAATGAAGATTGGCAGGTTGAGATGGGCGGGACACATTATCCGTATGTCTGAACAACATGTGCTAAGGAAGTTGATGGATGAGCGGATCTTCGCCTCAAGACGGGTGGGTAGGCAGACCGAGACTCAAATGGGCTGATGGGTGAAAGCCGACGCCCGAAGTATCCTTGGTGTCCACAACTGGGAGGCAGCAGCATTACTTGGAGAGGACTGGCGGTTGAAATTTCGGGAGGCCTTGACTCTGCAAGAGTTGTAGAGCCATTCATGATGATGATGATGATGATGATGATGATACATATGGTATAAGTATTGAAATACAAAGAAAAATGATAAACAAACAACAATAATAATATACAGATAAAAGAAGAAATTAACTATTTCCGTAATAGTTTCCGTATTTAAACAAAATAAGTAATTCTTTTCGCGGACGACTTTACTCTTAACAAGAATTATAAACTGAATTCAGTATTTAAGTACACTGAACATACCACACCACTTTTTTCATATAATCCAAGATTCCTCTCTAGTTACTTTCAAAACCAATTATTGAGAAACTAGCTAATCTCATATAATATTTAAAATAATCAGTGATATTCATAGCATCAAAAAAGATTGAAGAAATTATATGCAATAGAAACGACTTCCCTGTCTTAACAGTTAAGATACATAAGATGGACAGAAAAATATCCCTGCTGTAATCCTTGAAACTTAAAAAGTTATATTACGCAAAATATTTTATTCTCAACATTGACAGCCAACGAAGCAACATTTCAGTGATCTTTGCCTGATTCCTTGGTCATTGCGGTATCACCGGAAATGAACTGGTTCATCAGGCGATCAAAGATGCAATACCTTGAAAAATGGTAAGCTGTCTCCGGAAATTAACTGAGGAAAATTAAAAGAGATGTATCTTGATGGAAATCTTCATTATGGCTATCTAATCTCCAACTGAATACCGGACCTGTGGATGTACGCTAGCTCTGAAACACTTTCTAACAAAAAGCAGAGCGAAAGAAAACGAAAAATCATTCTTTGATATCCCACACAATATGTATTCCTCTTTGCTGTACAATGTACAAATGACTAACAGATGTTTTGACTTCCTAAGATTGACAGAGATGTAATTCAAAATTTAAATTTTAATCATTGACGAAAATTGATATTGCCCCCAGTAGATGACACCTTTATTGAATTAAAAAAAAAAAACTTAGCAAGTGTGGGCAAGTTCAAGTTAAACTTAGGGTTGAACACATTGATGGCCATAAGAAATTCTTCTAGTCGTCCCTAAGATCATCGAATTCAGCGTGTTTTATTATTCATCAATTGAATCACATCGATGTATCCGGTTGATGAAACCTTATTATAACATATTTCTCAATTTACTATAAATATTTATGGTTATAAATATGTTTTACAATATATCTATAATAATGTGAACGAATAAAAACTCTCAAAGAGGCAGAAAATCAATGTTAGACTATTATTTTAAAAAAATCGATAATCCAGCCTCGTGTTTCAGAATAAAATTCACAGCTAAAGAATAAAATAACACACGTTTCTCTAATTCATTTGGCAAGTCAATCAGGGCAGAAAAGAAAACAAACTCAAGACCACATCACTTCACGAGAATCCTATACCAAGAGTATTTTTTGAAGAGAAAACTTCTTTGGGCGCGCTTAGCACTTTTTTTTTAGGGTAGTGAATGAGACACTCGTATATGTAACGCTCATTCGGGTAAGATCGGATCTAATGTAATAATGTAAGGGAGGGAAATTTTCAGCATTTCATCTCCTTTGTAATGCAGTATCAATCAAAATTTTATTTTTAGGGCACGCCGAGTAAGAGAATCGGAAAGGGGAAAAGATAGAGCCAAGAAAACAAATAATAACAACTATTTTGAACATTTAGACTAAAATATCTCAGACTAAAGCTTACTGAAGTAATTGATACACCATTGTAATTGTATATGTTGTAAATGTTATCACTTTGTGAATATAGAACAAAAAATTGTTTATACACAACTAAAACTATATATATTGTAAATGTTATTACTTTGTGAATTTAGAACAAAACATTGTTTTTACACAACTAAAACTATATATATATATACTATATATATATATACTATATATATATACACAACTAAAACAAAATGACATTTATAATATATATATATTATAAATGTCATTACTTTGTGAATTTAGAACAAAAAAAGTTATATTTTATATTATTAAGCTAGCTTTGTTGATGTTTTCAATTCTATCGTGAGGTCTAAAGCACACCCCGTGGTTTTTTTATAATATCTTTTTACATATCACGATAGGATATCAAAAAGTGATATGATATTAGATTTATTTTACTTTCTGTCCTGATTTTGCCTTAATAGGCGAATTTTAATGTTTATCTACGTTTTATATACATTCATCTATGAACATATGAATGTGTGGTTGAAATTTTTCCAGTTATAACCAAACTTTCTATCAATATTTATTTCTGTTTTGAAATTTGACAATTCAGTGTGTAAATACTGGCTATGATATATATATTTATATATATATATATATATATATATATATATATATATATATATATATATATATATATTTATTTATTTATTTATTTTTTACCCTTTCAACAGTGATTGCCTTACGCTAGAATCTAGCAGGTCGTTCCTGAGCTTTGTGAACTTTGAGCATTTCTGTCTTTCTCCGACATTTTCAGTTTGATTTAACTATTACTTTTGCTTTAAATTTGGGTCCAAGAAGATTAGAAAAACAGCCTCGGGTCTCTACTGGTTCAGCAACACCATCGAAGAAAAACAAATCATAAAAGTTATAACCTCAGATCACGGGCGGATCTACGGGGGGGGGGGGAGCTTTTAGGCTGAAGCCCCCCCTCCCTCCCCCAAAATGGAAAAATATAACCATGTTTTATGGGAAAAAAAATACCTCTTAAAGTATTATTCTTCGTGTAATTACATTTAATAGTACTTAAGGAATAAATTAAACACCATTTCATATAGGTAGTTAGTTTCTTTCTGCTTTTCCAAAGTAATTATCGTTATTTTTATAAAAAAAAAAACGTTTCGGGCTCAAGCCCACCCCAAAATTAAATCCTGGATCCGCTAGTGCCTCAGATCAATAATGTGCTGATTGTAACGATTATAAATTGTTCCAACCTAAATATGCCATGGCTCTCAGATATGAAATGTTTGTCTACTTTTCTTTATTTAGGCTTCATTACAAAATGTCAAGAGTTGTCAGGGCGTGAAGGAAAAACTGCTGTTCCATGACAGGGCAGACCTCTCAGTGCTCCGAGTGTCGTTTTAGCCAAGCATTTGAACTTAGACTGCCTTCGATGCCGCTAATCCATGTCAGGTCTTATACCAGGCCAGAGGTAATTAAAAGCGTATCACCTAGCCCTAGGGTCTCCAAACTACGGCACGCAAGAACCTCCAATCCGGCCCGCGAAAGTTTCTGTGATTACACGACAAATTTTTAAGAACTACATAAAAAATATGAAATTCAGTAAATCACTCACACATTTAGTAAATTACTACAACATTTACTGTATGAGTTTTGTTTCTCATTTTGTCGCTAAATTGTCATTTATAGAACAAGACATTTTTTTTTTCTACGGGAGCCCATGGCCCACGGGACTTACAATTGTGGGTCACAG